ATATTATCAATTTAATTCAAGCCTACTGTCCTAAACGCAGATATAGCACAATTATTAGATAATACGAATTAATTAAGTTAAGCATTCCCCAATCATGGGTGAGAGAAAATCAAACCAACTTGAATATAACAACAATGACTTCCACCAACACGAGCCAAGTGTTAGATGATGAATGAATTTGTGACACCGAATCAATTAAAATCTAAGTGTTGTTATGAAAAATGTCTCAGCTCTAAATTTGTAAAACTTATTTGTTTAAATTATTGGGAAAAGAATGGTTTCTTGTGTAATTTTCCTATCATATGGAAAACCATTTTTTGTATTTTTAAAAATCCTAAATGTATTGACTTAGATTATAAAATTTTACATAATATATTATGATCAACGGAAAAGCTATTTAAGATAGGTAAAGTAAGTGACGAATATTGCCCGGTTTGTAAACCAATGCACGAAGATATTCAATATTTACTAGATGTCATTATTAAACAGTTTTTTAAACTTCTAATTAAGAATATAATGAAAATAAATATAAGTAGTAATGAATTAGGCACTGTAATTTTATTTGGTCTCCAGCGGTCAAGTAAAACTCCACTAATAGAATTATGTAATATTATTATGTGTACAATACGATTAGCTATACATAATAGATAATATATACTGCGTACACATCTACGAAAAGAATGAGAGTGCTAAAGATTTTATTTTAAAATTTATTAAGCCTCCCGGGTTAAGTGATGAGATAAGCATCGATTTTTAACTTTAAATAAAAGAAACACAAAGTCTAATTTACTATAAAACACCATTGGGTTTGCGTCACGGGTTAACGGCATATTAATAACTTTATTCACTGCGATGGTTTCTTTACTTATGGTATATTTTTCGAATTGCTTTTTGTATTAATTTACAACGGTTAAAAGTTTAATTGAAAATATTCTAAATATTTTTCTTTATAACTGATTTGCTCAGTCATAACATGTCTTAGAAGCCTACACAACAATCTTGTTAAACCGTTGAAAGATTTAAAGTGTGGATTAAGGTTAATTGAGTGTAGGTCAAATATGCCCCTGGCGAAGTGTGTATTAGGGTGTTAAAGGAGCTAAGTCTCTCACTCGATATTTTCCATAATAATCGAAATTAAAAACACAAATTAAAATTCAATATTGGTCCATTTCGAGAAAATGAGTCACGCGAACTCGGGGGGTGGGGGGAATACCCAATTTTAGTGATATATAAGTAGTAAAAAAAATCTTCTGACTTAGTCCAGTAATATAATACAACACCTATATTAGAATCATTGTTTTTTGATTGGCGGATCATAATAGGAAGATAATAATATATAAAAAATTTAATCGACCGATATTTATAATCTGCTAAAACAAATTCGAGAAAATGAGTCACGCGATTTCGCGTGATGCCCAATTTTTGGGTATAAAAGAGACATTAGTTAAATATACCCCATTTCACTTCCAGAGTTCCAACTTCACATTATTCAAATCAACAGCCACAGGTAAATATTTTATTATTGAGTTCCCTTTCATATAGGACCGTCACACCACATTGGAGGAGATAAATGGGGTTTAACGTCCTACTGTTCTGCACCGACTGGGCTAATGAATGCGGGCATACGTCATACAGTGCACTATGAAGGAATATTTCACCCGGACAGCGACACTACGGCCTACTTTCAAATTCCTATTGTCAGTTTTTTACGTGCACACAAATGTGTACCTTTTCGTTCCACCCGAACGAGTATACGTTGTCCGTTGCCAGGTCATTCGTCATGCACCACTGACAAGGGGGAAACCACGCTGGAAAACCCTGACGTCCACATTGTGACAATCCGCTGTGGTCACTTTTATAATCTTCTAGACTTTATAGTTATCTTATGACAGTGTTTGTTTTTTGTCATGCATTTGTTTTCATGTGTTGTTGTGTGTTGTGGAGACTTCATGCGTTTAGTACGTAAAGTTTTATTCGACACGAGCTTCTAAAATTACTTGATACTTACTGAGGCAAGGTCTACTTATAGTGAGTAAAAGTCTATTTATGTTGAGTAAAAGTCTATTTATGTTGAGTAAAAGTCTATTTATGTTGAGCAGTGTACTTCTTTTCATTTCGTGTTCTACAGAATCAAACATGGTTAAATGGAAAATAAACTCCCTCTATATTCGAAACCGGGGGCGTGTTTTTCTCCTAGTTCTATAATCCTTGAGTGGCACTTAGCGAGATTAATGTTGTTGTTGTTGTTTGTTACAAATGTTGTTGTTTGTTGTTTATTGACGATTTAACGTCCAATACAATGACATATGATATTATGGACAGGTTGATGTAATTAAATTATTTACACTTAATTGGTTGAGAATTGATAAAAACATAAAATATAAATGTCCGTGTATATCAAAAGTCTGGTAAAAACACAAATTTAACGTCCTATCCATTATATATGATATCATGGAGAGACAGAAATGGGGTTTAACGTCCACTTGACACAGACTAGGTCATTTCAGAACTAACATATGGTTTAATTTTATTTCAATAATTCGCTTGCGCGTAGGGGTCTTTAGCAGTCGGAATTAACCGGAGGACTCGGAGAAAACCCACGAGGTTGGATAGGCAACGCTACTCCTTGTCACTTACAACCTGGGATTCGAAACCCCGCCAGTTGACTCAATGACAGGCCTCATGATAGAATGATATCATGGAAAGGTTGATTTATAATTAACAGCCGATTAGAAACAGTCAGAGATCAATTAATCAATACTGTCTCAGATATTGGTTTTAAATGTGATGACAAGCTACATACAATATTTATTTGTTAATCCAGGAGAATCATTCATTTAAAAATACCTTTGTACATACAGGTGCCTACATCCAATAATACCTGTATACGTACATACAGGTGCCTACATTAATCCGATTTAAACAGATTAACATAAGAGTATTAAGGAGTTAATTTTGTGCAAATTACTTTGTTTTCTTTTTGTATATAATTTTAAGCCAATTTTTTAGAGTTTACGGTAATGTGGTTTCTGGTATTGCTAATAAAGTAAGGCGGGAATATGAGGAATATTTTGCCCGAACAGTGGCACTACGATCGATTCTTAAATAGAATTTCAACTGCCAATGGTTCTTCTGTGTACAGTGCACGCCAATGTGTACACGCGACCTTCTTATTTATCCCCTTCGAGCGACTAAACAGTAGTCCTTGCCCCGCCCCTCCCCGTCCTGCAACACTGAACAGGGGAAACCAGATTTCTTACAGTTAAAATTACACGGCGAATTTTAATAGAAATTGGACTACCTCCATATAATGTTACCTGTAAACCTTGAATTTATAATTATTCAGTGAATTTTAATACACATTGAATTTCCGTCATATAATATTACCTTTAAACCTTGAAGTTATTGTATAATTACACAATGAATTTTAATTTTAAAAATTGGATTACCTGTATAAAGCTTAAAGTTATAATTACACTATACATACAGGTATGACCCGGATATATATTATTACCTATAAACCTTGAAGTGTTAGTTTACACAATGCATGTCGGTCAGGTATGACCAGGTATGACCAAGATGTGCATAAAATAAAACACAATGAATCGTATCTTCATTTGTCTATTACAAATTACAATGATAAAGAACTCTTTTAAACTGTTGATGACAATATTACTAAATTCATATAGAGATCAAGGTCTTTAACATCTTTGATGTAGACTTGATATATGATTTCTATAGGTAAACATTCTTCTATATATACTGCAGGTAAAACGATACACCAACATGATATACAATACATATAGGTTAATGTATATACATAGTTTCACACCGATTTATTCAACGGTTTATGATAGACGTCCCGGGGGGGGGGGGGTTGGATGGTCGAATGCTGTATCTTAAGGCCTGTCATTGAGTCAACTGGCGTGGTGTCGAATCCCCGGTTGTACGTGGGTTTTCTCCGGGTCCTCCGGTTTCCTCCCACTGCTATATAAAATATTAAAATGATTATATAAAATAATTATATATAAAATAATTATATATAAAATATTAAAATGATTATATAACATATTGAAATAGTTATATATATAATTTTAAAATAATTATATATTTAAAATATCAAAAAATATTCTTTACAAATATTAAATGGTTATATGTAAATATATTAAAATGATTATATGTAAAATATTAAAATGGTTATATGTAAATATATTAAAATGGTTATATATAAAACATTAAAATGGCGTTGGCTTACTAACCAGTCATACTAAACTAACGCCGTCTGTCTACAATTAGCTCTGCTTGGGAACAGACACTAAGCTAGTTGACCGAAATCGACGATTTTAGTCGAAAACTCTTAGTTCGATACTTTTGAGAAATATTTATTCTGTATCAATTTAATATCAATGAAACGATTTATTTAGTCTTTGTGTGTATAGCAGATATGAAACGGAATAGAACCACATTTGAATATGGCGGCCATTTAGGACAGAGATCTATTTTCGAAGTAGAGTAGATAGTTGTCTGTGTTCCTTGATCGGTCGACCGCTTTCCTTTTGTCAGTGGTGCAGGTCGAAGAGCCTAGTAATTTGGAATAAGAAGATCAATTAGTGGTAATTAGTATATATTATATTAAATGTCATTAATATTGCCAATTAGCTAAAACCAGCCTGTCATGTTAACAGGTTTAAATAGTATTTTATTAAATAGTATTTTATTCAAGCGACGATTAATATTTACAAGTCATTATTTTGTGAAATAGGATGCAGTAACAAGCAAACAAATGTTTATATAAAACTGTTAATTATACGATATATCTACACTGAAAAAAAACTTGTGTTGGATCTCAACACAAGTACTTGTGTGAAAATTATTCTACACAAAACTTGTGTTGTTTTGCATTGCATTAACACAAACTTGTGTTCTTTTTAATGCATTAACACAAATCTTGTGGGGTTTTTCATATAATTAACACAAGTAATGTGTACCGTCAACAAATTTTTTTTTTTAAATTTGAACTCCATACAAAGTCTTAATCCGGGCGTCCACAAGTATAAGAAAAGTATTTTTTACTCAGACATGATGGCCAGACAGACTTGAATGCTAATTGGTGTTAAGATGTCTGTAGTTAAAATAAAGTTGTTGATTTTTTATGGGCCCAATAAACTGGTAGATCAAAGGCCTATTGAGCGCTCATGCCCGGTGTGATTTTAACAATTGACTCCAAATGCATTGACAAGAAAATAAGTAAAACTATTATTTAATGTGATTGGTTGATAAAATCAACGTACTATAGGCTACAGTTTGTCTGCGATATCATCTCGATGCAACCGGACATTAAATGAATTGATTTCACACAATTCATTTACCATTTAACAACGTGCTGAAATGATTTTGGAGCAGTGATATGTTTGACAAATGTAAGCTAATGGTCACAGAGAATAAAAGACCGCAGGTTTGTGAATATTTATATAAAAAAAAATAATACCATTTATTTTATGATCAGTAGTGGAATACCGCGTTTTATCAGTGAAATAAAAGTGTTATTCCACTGGCTAGTTGTTTTTACCTAAAATGATTGTAAAATCATAAAATAAATAGAACATTACGCATTCGTGAAAATATAAGTTTTCTTGCTTCTCGATGAAATAAAATATGTTATTCACTCTAAAACGACAAATATCCTCTATGTATGTAATTTAGCATCGATATTGTTTTTGTGTATAATATTAGTATTTCGTTTCCTTAAAAAAAACTCCAACAATTTAACCCGGAAGTTCATGTTTAAAATGGCGGGCGGTGACAGGGAAAAAATTTCGGCATGTTATTATCAAATCTGTTCAATTTTTCTGAAATCGTGCTTAATTAACATTAGTTGTTCGGCGCTACGATGTTGTTCAAATACGTACATTACAGAATTACATTATGATTAAACCAGAAACGGCTCGACTTGAACCAGCAGGTAAGAATCTGTTTTGAAATTATATCTTGGGAGGTTGGATTGGATTGGCGGTCATTTTGATTCTTGTTTCATGATTTTTTATATTATAAAGATTTTGCCAAGAGTAGACATAAACGCGGGCACAGACTAGAAAAAATCTTTTTACACTTTTGTGTTAGTTGAATTGTAATCTAATTTATGTTTAAAAAAACAACCTTAAATCAAATAAGCAGATATTTTCTCCGTTCAACCTCTGACTCTGTCACTCTGTGGAATATATTAGGCCCCTATTTTCCTGATTCAGTCACAGTTAATAAATAATAAATAATGGAACTAGAATCAGTCTGTGGAAGTTTCTCTATAGTTTCATTATTTTTTCCAGTCAGTGATGATATGACTCATTCCACCTTACAGTTACAGCAATTACCGTAATGAGAATTTACCGTTCAAGGACTCCATTTTGGCATTGAATTGGAATTTGAAGAAAAACTGGTAACAATTTCATTTAATTTTTATATTTTCTAATTTTTTTTTACCAATGTCCTACAATGATTAGTGTATGTGAACATACAATCCCAAGTAAAGTATTTATATGACACTTACATGCAACAGAGAGAGAAAAATGACATAAACAAGGCCTTACGTGTACTTGTATTTGAAGAATCAAGTAGTCCAAGCTATGCCTATATGCATACCGGTAATCAACTACGACGACGATTAGCTTTCTTCCGTTTCCACTCTTTCCCTGCACACTGTTCCATTCTACTTAGCCCACAGACGCTAGGTCGTTTCGGGAAAAAGGACAGGTAAGGTTAAATTTGATATGAATAATTCGTTTGCTGGTATGGGTATTTAGCAAACGGAGGAAACCGAATGGCCCAGAGAAAAACTCAAGAGATTGGACAGGCGACTCTACTCCTTGAAATCGAAACCATGCCACTTAACACAATGACAGACCCTGTGATTTCATGTGAATGCATTAACTACTAGACCATTCCCCCCAGCCCACCCCATATTGAATAAAAGTATGGCTTATTTCAAATATGATATTTACATATAAAGAAAGTAGAGAGACTTCAATCTTACTAGAAAAATACTAGATTACCTGAAATGAAATGGGGTTTAAAGACAACGTCCTACTGTTCAGCTCCGACTGGTCTAATGCAGTGTGCTAAGAGAAAATGTTTGTCCGGGCAGCGACACTATGGCCTACTCTCATAGCGAATTCAAACTGCCAAGAGAACTTTTATGTGTACGCCAATGTGTACATTGGATATCAGGGGAAACCACTCTGAAAAATCAAGATGAGCTTTCTCGGTCAACCCCAAGAGGTAACCTGTGGCCTCCATGCTAGTATTCAAGCACCTAACTCACTCAGTCACCATGGCCGTCTTCTAATTACTGCGACATTGAAACCATGTGACAAACAAGGATTATAAAAATAGATTTTTACGGCTTAGGTAGTTCCTTGGGATTAAAATTTTTGATACATATAGATACATTAGTTTCAATTTCAAATCACACAGTTTGTATATATGGTATGGTAGCTTTAATGGTAAATTACATATCATGTATTTATTTTGTCAGTTTCAATATTGGATGTATATGCAAATCACCCAGGAAAAGATCATGTAACAAAAGAAATTATAAAAGTAAAAAAATGGAAGAAGAAATGGCTGGAAAAAATGATGATAGAGCAGCTTTTTCTTGGTGGGTAACTATTCAATTCTTATAGAAAAGATTGCTGTTATGCTATTTTGAAATCTAAAATTCAGTTTAGTATAGTAAAACTGTACACGTACATGTATGAGCACAGACAGAATCTTAGTTAGATATGACTGTCTCATCTGTGGCAAAGCAAACCAACACATGAAACAAAACAAATGTAGTTAAATTAACATTTTTTGACTTAATCAAAACTGTCTAGTCAATTTAAGCCAACTAATGTAATACATTGCATATTTTTTTTCAGTTAGCCACTTCGGAAGATCAAGACAGCTGGAAAGGGCTATTGATATTGTGGAAGTGTTTTCTTACAGAGGTTGCTTATCAGACAAAGGCTATGTAAGTACCATGCATATTTGCTTTTTGAATCAGGAACTGGTTCTATACACTTGGTGGGGGGGGGGGGTTGGATGGCCGAATGGTTAGCATGTGCGTGCTGTATCATACGGCCTGTCATCCTCGGTTGTACGTGACAAGGAGTAGGGTTGCCTGTTCAACCTCGTGGGTTTTCTCCGGGTCCTCCGGTTTCCTCCCACTGCTAAAGACCTCTACGCGCAAGCGAATTAATGAAATAAAATTAAACCATATGTTAGCCCCGAAATGACCTAGTTTGTGTCGAGTGGACGTTGAACCCCATTTCTCTCTCTATATATACACTTGGTAATCTAGTTCTTCTTTTTGGGGCATAGTCTAGCGCTATGCCATTTCAAATACGATCAACATGAGACTCAGCAGGCTTGTTTGGTTGATATACAGTTTTGATATATGACTTCAAAACTATAAGATGGATGCAATGTTACACCCTTTCATAATCATTATTATAAAGCGTTCAAATGCATGAATTTGTAAAATATAATTAATATCATATTGTAATACTGTTTGCAATACTGTATTCACCACTGCCTTAGTGGAGATAATTGGTAAATTAAATGATTATTTTTTCATTATTGTCTTTTTTTCAAGACTTTTGTTCTGGCTTCTGACCCATTGAGGCATAATAATCTACCTGGGTCTGTAACTTGAAAAGACACAATAAGTATTATGCAAAGTTGAAACAAAATAGAGACTCAACGTGTGGAAAAATAAGTTATTTATTTAAACATTGTGAACCGTAGAAAGTATATTTATTGCCAACTCAACCACATACTATCATCCAGGGTTTATGGACCTACTTATAGTCCAACCTTCGACGATGGGTTGTATGTTCAATCTAGTTGGAGGTGTACGATTGAACATACAATAATTCAATAACTCACTTCTCTTAGTATAATCTTATATTCTGTAACAATATCTAACAAAGATAATATATACATATAATACTGACCCACAGGATAGGTAACTTAATAAGGAACAGCATCTAAGAAATAACTAGTCACTATATCAGAGACCTGCCCTTCAGTATGTCCTGCTGCCTGCCTGTGGTTAACCCGCCTTTTTCTAATATATACAATTTTTAGGACTTTTATACCTTAGCTTTGTTTTTAGTTACAATATAATCCTTAATACCTTACTGGAATAACTTTACAATAGATAATAATTTATGAAACAATGTCTCTCTAATATAATTACAGAGTTTATTTTAATTAGGATTCTGGCTAATCTATAATGGCTCTGGCATCAAATTAACTATGCTCTAATTCTACCTGGTCATAATACTTGAATATTAAGCCATCAAATTATTTTATAATTTTGAAAATGAAATGAAATGGGGTTTAACATCCTACTGTTTTGCTCATAAACTGGGCTAATGAAGACGGGCATACACCATACAGTGTGCTATGAGGGAAATTTTGCCCGGGCAGTGGCGCTACAGCCTACTCTTATATCGAATTCCAACTGCCAAGGGATCTTTTACATGCACGCCAATGTGTACACAGGACCTCGTTTTTTTTATCCCATCCAAACGACTAGACAGCTGTCCTTGTCAGGTCCTCCGTCCTGTATCACTGACAAGGGGAAGACACGTCGGAAAATCTGGATGAACTTTCTCAGCCAATTTTGAAAAAGAATATAGTGATTGTAAAAGCTAATAAGTTATCGGTTGCATTTTATTTTTGTTTTTAATGTTAAATATCCCTCTCAAACACAATTATATTTTAATTCTCTCCAGAAATTTGTGTAAAATATAGACTGTAAATTAAAACTTTCATCTTTTAACTGTTGAGTCAATTTAAGTCATCTAATACATAGTATGTTTTTTTCCAGTTAACTACATCAGAAAGATAAAAACAGTTGGAAATGGCTATTCATATTGTGGAAACTTTTCTCACAGAGCTTGATAATCAGGCAAAATGTAAGTAACATACATATTTGTATTTTTAATCAGGAAGTAGTTTTATACATTTGCTTGGTAATCTAGTTATTCTTCTTGGGGCAATGCCTAGGACTCAGCTATTTCAAGTACTTGGCATGCTTGATTTTTGCCAATCACATCCATTGATTTCCTTCAAGTTATGATAGGGCCTATGTGTATTTTTACAGTAAATAGCAGTAAAATAATGATGGACAATATTTTACTTTTCAAATAGATTTCAATAGATTTTAAAGGGTAATATCCAATTTGTTGTCAATGGAAATAAAATAAGAATGGGTCCAAAAATAATTAGACATTGCCAAGTAAATAGGTGCTGCCAATGATGTAGTTGGGAATCTGGATTTGCAGACAATACATGTATGAACCGGGTGAATAGTTGACCTATTATGAGACTTCAGTCCCAAATCTCAAGACTTTTTTCTGACTTGGCCTGACAAAGACAGCTGTCTAGTCCTTCAGATGAGACGAATATTGGAATGCACGTAAAAGATCCCCTGGCAGTTGGAATTCGATATAAGAATAGATGATAGTGCCGCTGCCCGGGCAAAAATTCCCTCATAGCACACTGTGTGGCATATGCCCGTCATTATTAGCCCAGTATAGGAGCAGAACAGTAGGACGTTAAACCCCATTTCATTTCATTTTTCTGACTTTTAACCCATTTGATTTGAGCATAATAATCTGCCTGGGTCTTTAAGTGGACAAGACACAATAAGCGTTACGCAAAGTTGAAACCAAATAGAGACTCAGTCTCGATGTGGCAAAATAAATTGTTTATTTAAACATTGTATTCTTATTGCCTACTTTTTATTTTTTAGGCTGGAACACCCTTGAAAGAGTATTTGATGTATGATAACAACAAGAGAACCCAAGCATCAATTTATTTTATACTTCTGGGAAAGAATGCATTTGACCCAATTTTTAAATATTTATTTTTTGTTATTAATGTTAAATTTTCTTCCAAAACACAATTAGATTTTAATTCTCTTCAAATATGTATGTATAATATAGCAAGTAAACTGACATATAAATCACTTAGAATTTGGTCGGAAATCATAAAGTATTTAATAGGTATTACTAGAAACCAAATGTAGATCAAATACACCCAGAATTACAAAAAACCTTGACCTACATTAAGGTGACTTTCCCGTGCTTATGAAATGAAATACGTTTTAATATCCTGCTTTTCTGTGTTCTTAGAGTGATTCTACCCTACCCGTATATCAAATATTTCAACTGTCAAGGGTTCTTTAAAGGGTACCCAGGGGGGCCGAATGGTTAACACGCACACATTTGATCAGAAGGTCTGTCATTGATTCAAATAATTCAATTTTCAAGGGTTCTTCAAAGTGTACGCAGTTGGGTTGGTTTCGATTCTGGGGGGTGGATGGCCGAATGGTTAGCACGTGCATGCTGTATCATACGGCCTCCTGTCATTGAGTCAACTGGCATGGTTTCGAATCCCCGGTTGTAGACAAGGAGTAGGGTCGTCTGTCCAATCTTGTGGGTTTTCTCCGGGACCTCCGGTTTCCTCCCACTGCTAAAGACCCCTACGCGCTAGCGAATTATTGAAATAAAATTAAACCATATGTTAGTCCCAAAATGACCTGTCTCTCTCTCTCTTTTGATTCTGGGCTTGTACCCAATTATCCCTTGCCATATCCAACACTGAAAAGTGGGAACTATGCCGGAAAATCCAGTTGAAATTTCTCGGCCAACGCCTTATGCTCACTGAACCACTGTGGCTTATGACTTGTGATTGTATATAAATCTTTTGTACATATGATATTTTTTATTTCAATCCTGTAATCTTGATGCTTTGCTTCTTTTATTTATAAAATATTCATTTTGTTTGGGTTTTTTTTAATGAGGAAAAGGCTCTACATCATTTTATTACTCCTGCAAAATAGAGCAATTTTCTTTTGTTAGTTTTCTGTGTATGCTAGTTATTTCTATATGTCTCACAAATCACTTGTAGTGTGATTTTGTAGCATTTTTCAGTTTTTGAAATTGTTTCAATTTAGTGCATAATTAATCTTATTAGTGCTTAGTTTGGATGTTATTAAATTTAGATATATTTGAATTATATATTTTGGGGTATGGGGTAGGGATACTGTGTACATATCTTTATATTCTCAGTTCTTGTTTTGGGGTAAAGAACAATTTAAATAGCTATTTTATATTTTGTGATGGGTAAAGTGTGTGGGGCAAAAAACATCAATTTAAATAGCTATTTTATATTTTGTGATGGGTAAAGTGGGGGGGGGGGGAGGGGTCATTATATATAACACAATATAATTTGTATTAGAATTGAAGTCTCTGTTTTTCTGTTAACATTTCAAATATCTATTTAGTTTTGATGTATTAATTTACCTTTTCCTATGATTTTATGAATAAATAATAATCTTGCAAAATTTTTTTTTGTTTCCTTCTTTTATCAAACTTTACAGGTCTAACAGAGCAAAGAGAGGGGTCCTACATAGAAAGGTTGCTATGCTGGATATAAATTGGGGAAAAATACAACACAAGTTTTTGATGATGGTTATACACAAGTTTGTATGAAACCACACAAGTTTCAGAAATTTCAACACAAGTTTCAGAAATTTCAACACAAGTTTCAGAAATTTCAACACAAGTTTCAACACAAGTATTGTGTAGATTTCACACAAGTTTCAACACAAGTTTTGTGTTGTTTGATACATTTTAACACAAGTTTTGTGTTGTTTCAACATTTAACACAAGTTTTGTGTTGTTTTAACACAAGTTTGTGTTGTTAAATAGAGACACCTAACTTGTGTTGAATTTAACAAAAGTTTGTGTTGTTTCAACACAAGTTTTTTTTCAGTGTACCTGTACACTAATTTAATATGGGAACCGTGGTGGCTCAGTGAGTAGGGCTATAGGTTATTAACCAGGTAGTCCCTGGTTCAATCCCGATCATGGTCGAGACAGTTTCCCGGGTCCCCGTCCCCCGCCTTATCAGTGGGTGCAGGGTGACAAGGAGATGAGGTATTTATTTGATGGGACGCAAATACGAGCCCCCGCCCCTCCCTCCCTTTCCCTAGTCAATGGGGTGCAAGGCGGAGGATTTGATAAGGAGAGCTGTTAGTCGTTTGGATGTGACAAAACTACGAGAAGGTCTGGTGAACAAATTTCGTCATAAGACACTGCATGGTGTAAGCTCGTCATCATTATCCATGTCGATGTAGCAGAACAGAACGTTAAACCCCATTTCATTTCATATTATCCACGAGTATCCCTTGTATATTAATTCACTACCGCGCATTCGTACCGGCTTCTGAAATCCACGTACTAACCACGTATCCAGTAACATCTGATGACTCTTATCATAACTAACAACTTCTGCTGTAATGTTGTGCTGTAAAGTTTAATAGTAATGGGTTTCTAGATGTTGTAGGGAATTATCTTAATATTGGGTGGTTTTACGCCACTGGACTCACCCAACTCACCCAACTTACCGATTTCTTATTAAAGTACAAGATTAAATTAAAGTAGCTAAGTCTCTAACTCAATATCATCCAAAGTCTTACACGTTGAAAACACGAATTATATGTCAATTCAAATCAACATTGATGTTGTGATCCTACCGGGAAAAGGTGGAGTCCTGATATCCAATATTTAAGACAAAATAAACGAATCGTGTACCATAGTGCGTTTCAGCGTCATTGGTAACAAATGACCAGAAAGAACGAAGCTAGACATATTCCACAACTCTGGAGAGCATGCGCAATAGACTGGAATAACCAGACGCTAGAAATTGGCCTTCGGTTGAGACTCATGTCGTATTTCGCTGGACATAACTGATTTGAAATTAGAGTCAAAACGGAAACAATTGAATGTAAATCAGTTTATATACAATCAGATTACAGTATTATATGCGTTGCGACCCACTTTTGTCAATTTCTAGGTCCCAAATGTTAGCGATTTAGCTCCTTTAAATCGGACTATTATTTATGGTAGAAAGATATAATAAAATGACCTAAAGCTTTAAAACTTATTTTTAAATATGTTGATGCACCCTAAATTGAATTGTGAAGTACCAGGGATAAATAAATAAAAATAGCTATAATGCATGATTTTATTGTAACTAGTGAACTGATAAATATTGTACAATTTATCTAAACAGTACCTTAATCGTCAGAAAATTTATGAAAACATGGTACTTTTCTGATATCTAGTTAAATTAACACTTACCCAGATCTTGGCATAAGCATGATTTAAAATGATCACGGCTAAAACAATTCCGTGCGAATCAAGAATTCTTTATGTAAGAATAGAGCTTTATCAGACCGTAAATGCACCACACATTATGTCTCCATAAGATGGTAGCTATAATCTTTCAATCCAATCCCCTAATTTAGTATACCCCCACCAAATCATAAAAAAATAATAACATAGCAAAACGGTGTTTAATTCTGATCATCTAAATTATCAAATGATATTCGCCGAAGTAGTAAATGGGAAGGGAGTTTTGTTATAAAATGTACATAATGTATCTTACTATTTTTCGCTTATATAAATTGATGTTCAAATAAAAACCATTAATACTTATCTAAGCATTAAAAGAATCAACCATTTGTGGTTATATTGAAATCTGTAAAAGACGCATTCTTTTTGAATATATTTCAAAGTAGGTTTTGCTGCATTGGAAAAAAAACATATAAGTAACGCTTTTTCAACAAGCAATTGTTATACTTTTAGTGATTTGTAGAGCGTCAAATCACAATGTTAATGTATTTTTTTAAATTGTAGATTTTATTCATTCATGTAAAACATTTATTACAATTTTATAATAAAATGTATAAAACACTGAGTTCTAGATTCAAATCACAAATCCACCTAAGCTAGAAAACTGCAAATCCGAATATTTTTGTTTATAAAATATTCACTTAACATTCAATAAATATTCCAGTCATCTAGTTTTGGATTTGGGGAAATTCATTCTCCTTTTCCCATAAATACAGATTACCGTATTATTTAATAATCAAACCAAACAGCATGTAATCAAAGAACGCTTGTATCCGCCATATGTAATATTGTCACGTGACATTGTTATGTTTTGTTTGGATTGGGAAGCGTTTATTATACACAATAGAACTCCAGTGTAGTAAGCCATAACTATGAACAATATCATGTCCCAAATAAATAATCTAATTTGTAGATCTGCAATTGGTCACATGATGGTCCGAACATTATTTGTATGGCTCTATTTGTTGACAGCAAATACCGCTAATAATTATCTTGGATAAAATACCTCGTTTAGTAAACGAGGCAATTTTACCCAGCCTCGTTCTGAACAAAATACCTCGTTCCAAAAACAGGACAATTAAAAAAACCACGTTTTGGAACTCCAGAGAAACGAGGTATTTTTTTCACCTCGTTACAACGAGGCAAAATCGGGGCAAAAATTTTGACACGTTTTTTGCCTCGTTTGGACAGAAATGCCGAACGAGGCATTCTGAGGTTTATAGTGTGTAGAGAGAGTTTACCTAAGTGTAATAATTAAATGAATTTTTAATTTTAATTAAGAGTAAGAATTAATAATACTGTTAAACTAATATTGAAATAAAGCTTTAAATTAGGAATAATTAGTTTTTGGTCTGATGACGATGACGTGTTTAATTTGAGGATGAATGAATTTGTCCCAACACAAGTCGTCAAAAGAAGTGCTGATTGAAAATTCTTAAAGTCGGGACTTCTACCCTACTTACAAGAAAAGAAAGTTTTGATGGTGAGAAGATGGTATCTGAAAAAGACCAATGGAAATCCAAGATGATGAATTGCCGAAGTTAAAGTGAAACTGAACTTTAACAATATTAAGTGTAGTGTAATAATATTTTGAAATTAGGACATGTGAGGAATTTAGGAACATTTTAGTTATAATTTTCTGTGTTTAGGTTAAAGTGGAAGAAAACGAACAATAGAACATGGAATTTATTTAGAATTAAACAACAGTGTTATAACTTGTGTCAGTGTATTTATGTTATTGTAGCATGCATAACAGTATATTGATATTGTAGAAGTAGTATTTAACCGGCAACTAAACGTTTTTGGTAGCCTGGTCGTTTAAAATCGGGCAATGACATCATAGTCTGATAATCCAAAATATGTTAATTCCATGCTTTAGGCACGCGGGCAACTGTCCTTCTTGTGCCCATATTAGTACAATGGGTAGTCTCTGTGCAGCTGATCAATCCGTGCAGCAAGTACCTGGTCAATTTCCCGTGACCAGGATAGTGTTACACCCGCGTAAAGTTTTCCTCATAGCACACTGCATGGCGTATACCCGTCTTTATTAGCCCAGTTCGGAGCAGAACAATACGACGTAAAACCCCATATTATTTTATTTCATTTATAGTGTTGACACTATACAATACATTTACCTCATATTTGCTGCAGCGATCCGTCTAATCGACTGAGATACAATACAATTATGTCATACGTATCTGATATACTCGTCTTCTAGGTCAGATTAACTGTCATATGGGAATTGAGATTTGCCATGGTAAGTAGTGAAGTGTTTTTTATTCGCCTGTTATTGTCATTGTAGTAAGTATCAACCACCTTTCCGGAAAGTGAAAGATAAACCATTATGTATTGTAGTCAAATATAATTTGATTCAATTATTATTTATTTTATCACAGTCAAATTTAGATCTTAATCAATTATTTATTTGATCAAAATTTTTTTTTTTTATTGAAGTAAGATTTAAATTTGAACAAATTAGTAAAACATAAAGTTCAATCCATTATTTTATTTTTTATGTTTGAAAATTAAGGAAAAACATAAATTCCAAAGAAATCAAATTGTTACCATTTTAGTTATTATTCTGCCAACTTTCAGGGGGGGGTGGAAAATATTTGAAACTAAGTTTCCTGGTAAAATGAACATTCTAGGAAATACACAATAGCCAGAATAGTAAAGTAAATGAATAGCACACTAAGCCATGCATAGTAAATTTTATGGTAATATAGTAGGGAGTCACGGTGGCTAAGTAGGTGAGACTAGCTTGGAGGTCGAGAAAATTCATCATGATTTTCCGACGTGGTTTCCCTATGTTAGTGGTACAGGACGGAGGGCATGATAAGAACAGCTGTCTAATTGTTCGGATTGGATCGGAAAACCAAGATCCTGTGTGCATGTAAAAGATCCCTGGGCAAATTACCTCAACGCACTTTGCCCGGGGTATTGAATGGATTACCGCGATCATAAGCCGCCTAATCTTGGTATTAATGAATTTTGTGACCGTCCATTTACTGGTACAAGTACGAGCAATGCGATGCAGAAAGAAAAGCGTGATCGCATAGTTGTCTACCTGAAAGTACTGAAAGTAAATAGCGGTGACAATAATTCTAAATGGTTTGTTCTTTGGGTGAAAGAGAAAGGCTTTGATAGGTCTACATGACATACTTCGTAAACCTACAAGTACCAAAGAAAAGGTAAGATTACCAAGTTACGTATCTATTTTATTATCTTTTCACTGATTGTTTCGGTATTTTCATTGATCAGGGAAACTGATTTGACAATAATTTCTGAAACTCAGTTTTATTAAAACATTATATCTAGTCAGTGCAAGTGCCGAAGTGGGGTTTTGAAATTTGCGATTTTTTCGTAGACATTTTTGCCGTTAATATTAGTAGGCTATCCTGTCTTGCAACAGATTCATGTTTTTACGTCCATATTCATAATGATCCCTATTGTTTTTGGTGCATGCCCAACTCCCAGGGACAGAGCCACGCCCATATGTGTCTGCGTGTCGCCTACAGGTCACAATTCTTAATGGATCGTCTTGAATACTTTTCATACTTTTTCCATGTACCCTAAGGATGACCCGTATTATTTTTGGTGCATGCACTACCCCCTGCGACAGAGCCACGGCCAAGTTTTGTCTGTGTCTTTGTGTCGCCTACAGGCCGCAATTCTTTACAGATCCTTCTGAACCTTTGTTTACCTATTCCTTATACCCTAAGGATGATCCTATTGTTTGTGGTGAATGCCCAACCCCCAGGGACTGAGTCACAATCATTTTTGCTTTGTGTGCCTGTGTGTTACCTACAGGCCACACTTTTTAGTGGATCGTCTTGGAACTCGATACAAGTATTCCTTGTAGCCCACTTTATGTTTAATCTTTTGTCCGTCAATAATCATTAACAACATATTGGGATCCAATTCAGTATGATCTAGCATAGGGTTGTACCTATTTATATTGGTAGGGGGTGGCGGGGTTGAAGCCAAATGGTTAGCACGTGCGCGCTGTATCATAAGGCCTGTCATTGAGTCAACTGGCGTGTTTTTGAATCCCCGGTTGTACGTGACATGCAGACGGGTCGCCTGTCCAACCTCGTGGGTTTTCTCCAGGTCCTCCAGTTTCCTCCCACTGCTAAAGACCCCTAAGCGCAAACGAATTATTGAAATAAAAATTAAACCATATGTTAGTCTCGAAATCACGTAGTTTGTGTCGAATGGACGTTAAACCCAATTTCTGTCTCTCTCTCTTTATATTGTGTCATCTGACTAGGCTATGGTATTTAGTAATCCATTTTCTTGCACTAATAATCACAGAGTAAAAATTCACAGAGTGGCGACTGCTTCATTTGCATACAAAATAGGTCGCGCACTGCATCTTGGGTTTTGTCTGTAATGTCACTAAACATGTCGGCTAAAGAAGACGCTTCGCAGTTGAACAGAAGAAAATACTATAATACTATAGATAATAATAACAGCAGTATATATCATCAAAAATTTTATTTTGTAAGAGTACATATTTGGTGAAAGGTGTTTTCATATTTGATTGATTAATTGGCATTATATTGCATATTATGATATACTGAGCGCCATGAAAAACTCATCACTTAGTTTTTCGTATAACAAAATGATCCTGTAAACATATCTTATTTATTTTGCTTCTTATTGTGAACAATATTCAGATGGGAACACATCAATAACAACACATTTGTACACTTATAGATGTTTAATCTGTAATCAAGGGTACAAAGTCAGAGGGGTCAAAACCAAAAGTACGACACAGATGTCAGTAGCGCGTGTGTCCTCCACGGGCCATCATCACGGTAGGCTACAGCATAAACGCGACCCCTGCAAATGCGTAGGGCGGTCCGGTGATGAAATGTGAAGCCTCCCCACACCATTATCACGGCCATCAGCGTGATAAAGATGAAAGCGACTCTCTCATCACTGAAGAGCACACTTTGCCAGTCTACTCTTCTCCATGTCTGGTGTCCTTGAGCCCATATCATACGGCATCTCTAGCTCGATTCCTTCACACGTCCAACAACAAATTACGACAGATTGATGTTTCACAGTTCATGTACTGCACATTAAGTTGAAAACATGCTTTTAAAGGGCTCCCACACAATGCTGCACGTGAATATTGGGGTTTTAATGTGCATCTCGTGCAATTTTTTTTTTCACGGGCCGATATTTTTTGCGTTTGGGAGCATTGTGTGAAACAATAGTTCATAGTATTGCATAATATTATACATACAAAACCACCTAGTAATAAAATATTTGGGAGAAAAAAGTGATGCGTTTTCCATGGCGCTCCAATGTAGAGTACTGAGTACTGTAGGCCTAGAAGTAGATCTATAGGTATACGTCTTTAGGCTATCTAACTTATGATAATATGACCTCTCGCATGTTCTTTTTACATTCTATATTTTGTGTATCGAAAAATGTGATTCTATGTAGGTCTACAATTACTTGTGGTAAACAATTTAAGTGTTAAGTATATGGTATGTTATATACCTTTCCAAATTTCATAACAAAAATATTATTTTGCTCAATTTTCAGTTGCAATAAGCTTTTAATACAGTAAGCCTAATACTGTTAAGCTATTCAAAATCACATTTCCCCTTTTACTGGTAGGCCTTAATCCGAACAATAAAATATTTACTGAAGCACTGTCACTAATTTTAAACCATTCAGTAATTCAAAATAATTTTAATTTACTCTGTTATTATCTAGTAATATTATGCTGTATGGTTAACTTCAGTTTTCATGGCAGATAATTCCATAAGTACACAGTATAAACTAAATTTTCTATTTCTAAATAATCAGTTGACAAAAAAAATCACAAAATTAAAAGTAACTCTGAACACAGATCAGAACTAATGTCATGGATATCAAGAGCAAACTTCAGATTTATAATAATTTAATATATTCTTGTGTAGTAGTGCAAAATGGATAATTTCATAGTATTATGGGGCCTATAAAGTCCGTCAAAACATTACATGACACCCAGAGCAATATGCAAAGTATTCATTCTAAAGTTGTTTTTGGTTTATTCTTGTTTGTAAAAAGAGAAACCAATCAACTCAAATAATGTTCATTGAAAAATTTTATAGGCCTATTTCAAATAGAATTTTAATATCGTTAATTATTTAATTTTTAAAAAAAAAAAATGAAAGCCTACATTAATTAATTAACAAAAATCATAAAAGCACACAGTGAGTCAACGTTGGGGCCAAAGGTATTTTATCTTGGAAAACAACCAACGGCTCAAATCTGTTTATTGGAAAACGTGATATGCCTATTTGAAATTCGATTTTAATACTCTTAAATTATTTTTTTATATTTTAATGAAAGCTTACTTTATTAACATAACATAAAAAAGAAAATCACACAGTAATAAGCTCTAGAAGACAAAGGTAAATCATGTTGATGTTGAGTAAAATAGGCCTTATCCAAAAAAGGGCGTGTCACTTTGACATTTTCAAATGGTCCATTTTAAGGTGTATGGAAATTACATTTCAAATCTGGGAATCGAAACAACAAAAATCGACAATAATTTACGGCCTTATAGACCAATTCATAAACCGTCACAAATGCCGTCTCTCAATTCATTCCGGACTGTACCACGCTTTATCTATGCATGTTTTAAAAATATGAATCATGTTTTATAAATTCCCGAAAAAAACACACAACTAACGTATGATTGTATGTGATAATTCTCGGTAGTTTTGTTACCGAAAATACTATAAAACTACGAAATTAAAGAGATTTAGTTCATCGATATAGATATCGTAACGTCGTTGAGCGAACTGTCAGTGTGCGTTTTATTACAGACAATTTCCAAGATGCATTGCGCGTCGCTGTGTTACTATGCGCCGTAATGCGAGTCGCCACTCTGTGTATTTTTACTCTGTGCTAATAATGGTACCGTAATAAAAGTAATAAGCTAATAATATGTAATAGCCAAAATTTACACTTTTAACTCATCGTAGCAGATTAGGGCTTCCTTTTTTATATTATAATTATAATTTATTATTGTTTTATTAGCATTAACTTAAAACTGCATTACATCCTTATTGGTTTATTTATGTTTCTGATCACTTGTACTCCAATATGGGATTACATTATATATTTTCCCAAGAACTCAATAAAACCAATCAAAAGTATTAACTTTTAAATCACTGACTTGAGAGGACTAATTAAGCTGTTCCTTGTCTTTGAAATACTAAATACCGACAATGGTTTTATATCAGAAACCGATTTTTATTTATTTAGTTTTTTTTCAATCCAGAAAATTCATGAAGCTTAAGGCAGACAAGACGGAGAAAAGCTGGTTGACTGGGAAGGCGACTATAGTAGGGTCTGCCATCAAGAAGATGGAGAAAGTTGTGGGGGTTTTATGGTAAGAAAACACTACTATACATTATCTTGTTATATGTAAATTTTACGCTTTATATTATGTGTCGAAGTTTGTGGGGTGTCGAAGTTTGTGCCTGAGGAGTATAGTTAATTGTACGTAGGGCCAGACATCTGCGGCGAGAAAGTTATGCATGATTTTCAAGCCCGGTTTCTCGATGACATCCAGTTCATATATATTCCGCTTTCATTCTGGAGTCAATATATTGAGTAAATTATTACTATGCCACCTACTGAAAGTAAGTAAGGGTATGTTCAACTCTTGCTGTGATCAGCAGCCTTTAATAGACAATTGTTCACCCACAACTTTTCATTTCTCACATTGAGATAGCTGCATTTAAGCGTCTGTTAAATATTACATATGTGGTACCCTAAATGGTTTGCCAGATATTTCTTTCACAGGTAATGCTTCATAATTGTATTTTTCGTTTTCTTTTTATTTTCAGTATGCGGAGGCTTTAATGGTGGGCGTTCATTCCATAATAACGAGGATGCAACATGTACCAATATATAGAAAATATATTGCTGGGGCATTAGTATATACTATAACCAACACATCAACCCTTTGTGACCCGTCAGCTACATGCCTGAGGCCGAAAAACAAACTTATACAATGGATAGAATGTGACAATTGTGTGCATGGACTGCATGTTAAATGTGCATTGGATCAATGCGGGAGATTTTTAAAGTGCATTATTAAAGTGGGGTCTCAGGTTAGGAGCAGAACAGTGGGACGTTAAACCCCATTTCATTTCATTTATTAAAGTGGGTATGCCCGTCTGTCTGTCCATCACACTTTTTGGAACACAATAACTCTGCTTTTATTGAACTAGACTATTCAAACTTGCTGTATGTGGTTATTAGGTGAATGCTTTAACAGTGTTTGATGATAAGCATTTTCAGCTTAGACGGAGATAAATTCCTGGATTATGACCCCTAAAAATTCCAGTTTATAGCTTGTGGTCCCTATAGAGGTCAGAATATTTATTCGACTTTATAATCTGTTCAAATATATCAGCCTTACATCCTAATGATGGATGAGTTTGAGTTCATTCGACTGAAACTGCCTGACAAAAATGGCAGCTCCAGGTAATTAATACCAGGGTTGTGAACCCTCTAAAGGGTCACAGTTTGTGTCTGATTTTGATGAAACTTATGATTAGGTTGTGGACCCATGAAATGTCTCAATTGTTATCCGATGTTAAAAATCATTTAATATCCGATTGACTTTTTATACACAATGTTTAAGGTCGTCAGATGAAGACGCCTTTGAGTTTTTAAATATTTCTGATAATTACTGCCAGAGTTATGGACCTTTATTACTAGAAGCCAAACAAATTCTACTGATTTTCTATTAATTACCTAATGAGTTGTTACTCTTAATCATATTTTAGTGTATTATAAATGCTTCATTGCGAACAAAAGAAAAAATATGTGACGACTTAGCTGCGGTTTGCGTATGTATCGTTGCCTGGCAGCCTATCTTTTTAGATTGTTCTGTCCATCTCTCGCTAATGTGGACGTATGACAACCGCTTGTTCAATACTGTGTTTTTGTACATTTATATATATTTAAATTAGTGAATAGTTAATTGGGGATTATTTGATATATAGGGATTATTGTTACATGGGGATTATTACCTATCTGTAATAAAGAATTCTTGAAGGGAGATGTTAAATTTGTTGTGGACGTATATTGCCGTCGCCCCTGTCTCTGTGTGTGTGCCTGTGTGTCGCCCCCAGGCTGCAATTCTTAAGTGATTATGATCATCTTGAAACTTTACATACTTATTCCTTATAACCTAAGGATGAGCCCTATTGTTTTTGGTGCATGCCCGACCACAGGAGGCAGAGCCACGCCCATTTCTTGTATTTGTTTGTTTGTCGTCTACAGACCGCATTTCTTAACGTATCATCTTGGAACTTTGCACACTTAATCTTTGTGCCCTCAGGAACATCCCTATCGTTTGGGGTGCACGCGCAGCACTCAGGGGCACAGCCACGCCCATTTTCTTTTTGTGAGTCTGTGTGTCGCCTATAGGCCACATTTCTTAATCGATCGCCTTGAAAAATTTTCATATGAATTCCTTATACCCTAAGGGTGATCCCTATTGTTTTTGGTGCATGCCCCACCCCCAGTGGCAGAGCCACGCCAGTTTCTTGTATATATTTGTTTGTCATCTACAGACCACCTTGAAACTTTGCATACTTATTCCTTCTATCCTAAGGAACATCCCAATTGTGTGTGGTGAATGCCATGGGGCAGAGCCACGCTCATTTTCTTTTTGTGTGTCTGTGTGTGTGTCACTTACAGCCAGCAATTTTATACTTATTCCTTATACCCTAAGGCTGACCTCTATTATTTTTGGTGCATGCCCGACCCCCTTGGACAGAGCCACGCCTAATGTTTGTGTGTCTTGTGTTTCGCCTACAGGCCGCTATTCGTAACAGATCATTTTGAAACTTTGCATACCTATTGTTTTTTGGTTATTGCCCAAAACTCAGGGGAAGAGTCACACCGATTTGTTTTTTGTGTCTCTGTGTGTTGCCTACATGCCACGATTCTTAATGGATCGTCTTTGAACTTGGGATATGTATTCCTTATATACTATTCAAAAAAAGTAGGGGATATTTGATTTTGGGGGCATAATACTAAAATATGCAAATGACTACGAAAAAAGTCACTATAGAACCTAACAGAAGAAACATTTCCAGTTACATGTGACGCCCAAACGCACCAATAGCTACCGCATGGAATGCAGGTGATGCTTGGGATCATCATGGGGGTCCAACCCAAGATTTGCACGACTCTGACTTTGAATGTTACAGTCATTGTGGCATTGAATTCCAGGGTGGAAACATCAGTTTAATTGTTTTAGTGACCAGAAAACAAATTTTGATATGCGTCGGCTTACCCAAAATGAAAGGTTACGTGCCCTTGGCATGCTACAGATCGGCACAACACAGGCGGTTGTGGCGCGGACGATGAATGTTTCTCAGTCTGTCATAAGCAGGCTATGGTCCAGATACCGTGATACACAATCTGTACAGGACAGACCACGCTCAGGTCGACCAAGGGCGACAACTCAAGCCCAGGATCGATTTATCCGTACCTTGGCTTTGAGAAATCGTGTCATCACAGCAAATCAGATCAGCGCTCGTCTTCAAACAGACACTGGTGTGAGAGTGAGTGGCCAGACGATTCGGAATCGACTGCATAGGGGTCACCTTCGCGCCCGACGTCCTCGCGTGATCCCTTGTTTGGGAGATCATCACATTCAGGCAAGACGTCGTTGGTGTAGGGATCGTCAACACTGGGATAATCGACGCTGGAGCAATGTGATGTTTTCAGATGAGTCAAGGTTCACTGTTGATTTTTTGGACAGACGTAGGAGGGTGTGGCGTCGTCGAAACGAGCGCTTCCAAGACGTTAACGTCATCAGACATGATCGATTTGGGGGTGGTTCTGTTATGGTGTGGGGAGGCATCACTGTTGCTGGAAGAACGGCTTTACGTGTTGTTGCAGGGCGTGTTACAGGCCAGTACTACCGGGACAACATCTTGGCAGTCCATGTTGTGCCGTTCGCACGACGTCATGGCCGCCGTTTCATCTTCCAGGATGACAACGCAAGATGTCACAGGGCCAGGATCGTTACAGGTTACCTCCAACAACAGAACATCACCACATTACCTTGGCCAGCACTGAGTCCCGACCTCTCCCCCATCGAACATGTCTAGGACATGCTTGGACAGAGGTTACGTCAACGTCAACAACGTCCTGCCAATGTCCAAGAACTTGCTGCTGCGTTGCAACAGGAATGGGACAATCTGGACCAAAATGACCTTAGACGTCTCATTAGGAGTATGCCACGTCGGATCAATGCTTGTTTGGCAAACAGAGGAGGATTTACCCGTTACTGACTTGGTTGTGATGCTGTGGTAACTTTGCTGTTTGACCCCGGGTATCATTTTACCCTTATAATGGTCAGTCTGTGCCTTACTTAGTCTAACGATCATTTGGAATAAATCGATGAATGTGAACTTAATTTCATTTTGTCATTTGTTTCTTCGTCAGTTTCATTAGGTGACTTTAATAACACTTAAAAATCAAATATCCCCTACTTTTTTTGAATAGTATAGCTTAAGGACGACAACTGCATGTCCCGACCCCCAGGGACAGAGCCACGCCCAATTTTTGTGTTTATCGTTTACAGGCCGGAATTCTGAATGGATCAACTTGGTACTTGGCATATGTATTCCTTATAACCTAAGTGCGTCAACTATTGATTTTGGTGAATGCCCTGCCCCCCCCCCCCCCGGGGCGAGGGCCACAATCCTTAATGGATCAACTTGGTACTTGGCATATGTATTCCTTATATCCTAAGGACATCAACTATTCATTTTAGTGAATGCTCCGACCCCCCAGGGGCAGAGCCACGCCCAATTTTGTCTTTAGCGCCCGAAAGCCACAATTCTGAATGGATTATCTTGGAACTTGGTATACGTATTCCTTATACCCTAAGGAAGGCAACTATTGATGTTGGTGCACGACCCCCTTCTCCTCCATATCTAAATTATTGTTTAAGGTAAAACAATTATGTTTCAACATCAGATCACAACTACATGTATGGCAATGTACGTGTTTTATTGGCGTGTTTATTAATTCTAGTTCTGTGGTAAGTATATCTAAAGAACCAAAAGTTATTTGGGGGTTTTTGCGGGTTTTTTTGTATTTGTTCCCGTCTTGCGAAGGAAACAGGTGAGTATTAAAATGGGCCTGCCCGTCTGTCGGTTCGTCTTCCTGTCTGTCTGTCCGTGACACCTTTTTAAGACGGGGGGGAGGGGGTGGATGGCCGAATGGTTAGCACGTGCGTGCTGTATCATACGTCCTGTCATTGAGTCAACTGGCGTGGTTTCGAATTCCCGATTGTACGTGACAAGGAGTAGGGTCGCCTGTCCAACCTCGTGGGTTTTCTCCGGGTCCTCCGATTTCCTCCCACTGCTAAAGAACCCTACGCACAAGTGAATTATTGAAATAAAATTAAACCAAATGTTAGTCCCGAAATGACCTAGTTTGTGTCGAGTGGACGTAAAATCCCATTTCTCTCTCTCTCTCTCCCCCTTTTTGAGACACAATAACTCTTTCAAATTGCACCAGAATGCTCAAACTTGGTGTAGGTGTTTATTAGGCGAGAAAGCTTACGCTAAACAGAGATTAGCAATTGTTTGGTGTTTTGGGACGCGATAACTTTGCTGTAATTAAGTGTGATTGATGAAACTTGGTGTTATAGTTCGATGATGAGCATTTTCTGCTTAGGCTTAATAGAAACTTCAGTCTGATTGGTCGAGACTTTGGAATACAATAACTCACGATTAATTTGGTTCTAATTGGATGAGAGTGATGAAACTTAGTGTATTGTTTTATTATATCAATACCTTGACTAAGTTCGATAATAAGCATTTTCTATTTAAGCAACTCCAGAAGATAACACGATGTTGATGTTGATGTTGATGTTAGTGGGTACAGTGACAGCACCTATCCCACCAGGTATTTACATTGTATTACTAGAGATTAGTAAAATTAATCATAGCACAGATGGTGCAGAACACTAGGACGTTATAAAAAGACACCGTCTATGAAACGTTATTTTTTCTCAATATGATTTGAGCCGAGGAGGTTCAGTACGTAAGACGCTGGATCGCAAAGTAGATTATGGTCTGGATAAGTTAATTAATTAATGTCTTATTAATAATTTAGAAAACATTTCAGGCCTAAAGAAAGAACTGTAATTGGCAGATTTAGCTCTTGCATAATGTATGTTTAAGTAGGCCGTAGCCCAGTAATCCCAGTAAAGTAGGACGTTAAACCCTGTTTCATAGGTATTAATATATCAATAATTTTATGTTTGTCAAATTTCATGGTTATGTATATTGTATTTTAGATTCTGTGTTCGAATGGGGCAATACAACAAATCCTGTGATCAGTACTATGCGTCAAAGAATTACCCTGGAATGGATATATCAATCTAAAGAACCTGTCAGCAGTATGGTCTTTACACGCTTTAAAAACAGCAAGGATATTGAAGTAAGATCATATAATTTAATGAAACTAAATCATTATTACATACTGATCATAACTTAAAGTCGCTAATTCTCTAACTCAATATCATCCAAAGTCTTCGACACTGAAAACACGAATTATTTGTCAATTTAAATCAACATCGATGTTGTGATTTTACCGGGAAAAGATAACCTTCTGATATCCAATATTTAAAACAAAATAATCATTTTACCATTGGTCACAGGGGAAATGGCTTATTACGCAAGTCAATCTGTACCTCTATCTGGTAAATCAATATTTGCTCGTCTAGTGACACTTCTAATTTATTTAACGCGTTCAATTAGCTGACACTTTATTGTATTGTCCCATATTTTTATCTGGAGAGCATGTGCAATAAATACCTCGGTGTAGACTGGAATAACCAGACGCTACAGGCTGCCACTCGATTTAGGCCTCTGGCGTAATTCGTCGAAGATAACTGATTTGGAATTAGAGTAAAAACCGTAACGATTGAATCTAAATCAGTTTATATTCATTCATATTATATTATATGCGTTGCGACCCATTTGTGTCATTTTCTAGATCCAAAATATTAGCGACTTAGCTCCTGTGAGATATGTTTAATAACTTCTCTTTGCAGTCCTTCATGTTTATAAAATTGTGCGGGAGCCATCAAAAGCTCCTGATACCTTGAATATATGCAGTTTAAAAGTAAACAAAAACTGAAAATAGTTTATTAATCTCCATATTTAGGAGAGCGATTTAGCTAATTTGCAGGAGTCTTTAATGACTCCTTCCAAGGAAAGCCGATCTGCGTCTAGAGGAGCATGAGCGAAAGCTCCCCTTAAACGTGAAGGACTGAGTTTGTCCTATTGCCAATGATTACAGCCATTTTGCCCAGATCAAAATATCTTAGATGTCTTAAATAATGTTACACCTTGATTAATTTTATTTAACTTTAAATCACTTCGGTAACAGAACTTCTACACTAAAAAGAACGTAAATAAAAGCACTTTTAATTTACATCATGTAACTACTGATGATTTTATTTTCAAGCAACTCTGTTATCTTTAATCAGAAAAAAAGTACAGGGCTCGATGAGATCCCGGCAAGATTCTTAAAAGACCGCGTTGACGTCTTAAAAGTTCACATTCAATTTCTTATTAATTTATCAATATCAGAAAACACAGTACCTGATGATTTGAAGCTAGCTCTCTGGACGTAGGAAACTATCGACCTGTAAGTGCTTGAAAAATCTATATACATTCAATTAGTCTTTTCTCACTGAAAACAACATTCTCTATGAGTATCAGTCGGGTTTTCGTGGAAGATACTCTACAGACTCATGTCTGATGCACATTTGTAACACTATTGTTAGTGATAACAGTAGACCGGTTTCGTAAATATATGGTTTATTTACAACGGGAACAGAATATCAAACATCTACAAAATTACAACAGCAATACATAAACTAGTCTATACTGGAACTTAAACTAATATACCGGAACTATCTACGACAGGAACACATCTAACAATCTTGAATCAACCATTCCGCCCCTCTGCCAAGGCAGCGGCTGAACTCGGGTGAGTCCATACACTCGTCCAACCCTTTCTTCTCCTCCCGGCTCCTCTCTCCTGTCAGTGAACTCCTCAATATATACCCTAGCACACATGGTCATACATGCAATTGTCTCTTTTATCTCGTCACGGCATGCCTACTGACCAATGCATATTCCTTTGAAGTAAAGCGGAGCGTGTGCAAAGACCACACGTAGTTTGTAAAGAACACACTGAATCAATTAGATGTTTAATAAGCTCGTGCTTAACAGAAGTTTATATAGAGATGAAAGTCAAAAATCATATATTGTTAAAACTAGCAGAGTTCATTAAGTTCTATGTACCTAAATGATACTGTTCAATTTGGTGAGAAATATAAATCACTTTGTCACACATTTTAGACCACTTGAAAGACCAAAATGCAAAAGGTCTATTTACAAGGATGATAATGCTTGACCTCCAGAAAACATTTGATACTGTCGATCCTGTTGTCTTATGTGAGAATCTAAAACTGGTGGGTTTTACTCATATCTGTCAAATATGAAACAAGTAGTCAATGTTGGTGATACGTTATCCGAACCTGCTTCCATAACCTGTGGAGTGCCCCAGGGTAGTATCCTGGGACCGTTATTATTTCCGAGCTATGTAAAGGATATGGCTATCAGCATCCCGCAATAACGTAAACTTATCTTATACAATATTATTTTCCGACCAGAATCCTGAAGTCGTTTAACAAACACATAGTTGTGGTCTTGATTCCTGTTCAGAATGGCTTATCGATAATAAACTGTCGCTCCATCTCGGTAAAACCGAATGTATTCTCTTTTGGCCTAATCTTAAACTAAGTCATATTAAACAGTTTATAATAATCTGCAATAACTATACCGTAAAAACAACGGATAGTCTAAAATATTTGTGTCTATATTTTGACAAATACTTGTCTGGTGAGGAAACTGATAACAATATTATGCCTATGCAAAAAAACTAAACATATACATTGTTCTGCACTTATTCACTGCCACTTTGAGTATGCCTGCTCAGTCTGGTATGCTGGTGTGAATCAATCATTTAATAATAAACTACAAGTTGTTAAAAACAAGGTTCTTAGATTTGTACATGTGCCCGGACGTAGAGATCGTGTTTCATATTCATATTTCAAAATACTAAATGTTGAAAACCGAGTTAAACATGCATTATGCAAGAGCTAAATCTGATTATTGCAAGTTTTAATTTAGGCTTCAGATGTTATAGAAATTATAAATTAGATCTTTATTTAAACAACAAGACCAAAATCAACTCTGTAGACCCACGGATTGCTCGGCTACATCTCGGATTTAAATAGGATTTCACTAATTGATTAAATCAGATAAGGGGTAACCTGATGAAAATACGTCAGTTAGATCGAGGCTAAATGATAGAGTGTACTTAGCGAGGCCGCTGCAACGCGTTTCCGTACGCCATTGAAAACTTTACTTGATAATCGAGATATGTAGGCGGAGTTAACGCCTGTCAATCAAACGTTCGGCGAAGGTGAAGACACATTTCGCTACCATTTCTAGGCAAATATTACAACGATGATAACTATGTTCAGAATAAAGTAATTTGACTGAATTTTTCAATATATTCTTCTTTCATCATCTACTTTTGAACTGTTATAGCAAGAATGGCCAACTCTCTATAAATATCTCCCATAATGTATCTTTAAATAGTTAAAAGTAAATAATTTACATAAGATTTTTCATAATAATTGTCCATCATACCTTAAATCAAAATTCAAATACTCATCAACACGGTACAAGATCTAGTTTATTCAATTTTTCTGTTCCAAAATGCTCGGGTAGAGATCAGTTCACATCATTTAATTATATCGCCATCAGTATCTTGAACGATTTACCGAATTATATCACTATACAGCTTTAAAGCCGTAGTCAAGAAGTATTTATTGTCAACAGATTATTAATCTGTGATACTACAAGCTTGTTTATCTACTATTAATAAAATTGGTTGATGTATAACATGTAGACATGAATATATTTAATTATTTGTGATATATTGCATAGATTGGCATATTTATTAAGTTTTGTATCCTTATGATGACCTGATGCGACCTTGACAACTCTGGACCCGAGTTTGTGGCACTGAGTTTGTTTTTCAGCGCGTGAAACGATTAAATATATGTTCGATCTATTGTTAATGCTGTATTTTTTATAGTTTATAGAAATAGCATGTATATGAGTAAATGATTGCGTGTTGATGTCATTGGTAGATATGTGTAAATGGCTCTATGTGTAAATGATTGAAGGTTCCTGTAGGAAAATGGACAAAGGAAGGAGGATTTAAAATAGAAATAGCATGTATATGAGTAAATGAGTGTGTGTTGATGTCATTGGTAGATATGTGTAAATGGCTCTATGTGTAAATGATTGCAGGTTCCTGTAGGAAAATGGACAAAGGAAGGAGGATTTAAACCGGATCCCTTCATATCAACTGAATTGACCCTTAATACAGTTCACATAAATGGAACGAATGAGAACAAAGTATCTCTGATACTAGAAAATCCTATTCATATAGACTACGACCTCCAGTACAACTGTCAAGTAAACTTTGGCGATCCAGTAAAAAGGGATAGTTTATCAATTGAATTGAGAGCGCTGAGTAAGTAACAGTAATTTAGTAGATTATTGACGGGTACATGATTCAAAATGCGATATAATAAAATATAGAAAGAAAAAATCGTGAGTATTAGACAATCAAAAGTTGGAAATAAAAATGCGGTCGATGAAAGTAGAATTTAGAAAGACGTTTTACGGGTAAAAATTATAGATGTCCACCATGAAAATACCCTTTTCATATAAGAATTTGTGACAGTATTGCGTCTTTATGGTAGGTTCTTGACGACAACACTGGTTTAACTTCAAATAATACTTTTATTATGCTTCTAACATATCATGTATAAAACTTAAGACTCTGTAATTAGTGTGCCAACTCCCAACTCTTACATGACCGTTGTCCGTCTTAACTCGAGGCCTGCCTGATCTCAAGTTAACTTCTAGACGCCCCCGCCTAGCCTCTTCTGTCGATTCGTTTATATTCTGGGTTTATAAACCCTTCTAGACAAAGGATCCGATCTCATTACACATCTGGCCACTGTAACATATCAGATTTAACATTCAGTACAGTTTGATTATCGGACAAAGGAAGTTAAATAAAACCGACCAGCCACAAGTTGATGTTACATAATGACTAATGAATGCCAGCAGGACCACCAGGCGTGTCGATAGCGGACAGGTTGATATTAAGATCGATTTCGCAGGTCAAGATTGCACGAAGCGTCTATAACATCTGTCGCTATGTAACAAATTTTCGCTTAGTCAATCTGTTGGCATGGAAATATAGATCGCAGGTTCAAATCAAGCTTTTACCTCCATCTTACACGTGATCCGCCATGTTGGACGAAATATACAAATAAGTGACTTTAACATGCAGATAAAACAATTGGCAGCAAATAAATTGTTATCATCTAGTTTTCTTTCATCTGACGTAGATATTTACATTATTTCCTGAAAGTCTTAAATTGATAAAGGTAAAAGGAAATATACAATATTCCGTTCTCATTTTCGAAGATTGGATGCAATAGAAAATGACTACTGCGATTTTCTAGTTTAAGCTTTCCTTGTTCATGAAGCCCGAAAGAACTTTGCTTATCCAAATATACAGAGGGTCTCATTTCATGTCGATATTCAAGTTATTTGCATGTAAGTTTTCAACTAATAATTTAAATAAACGATATTACCTCGGGATATTCAAGAGTGCTTAGAGGTACTCCTGGTAATAAGCCCCGTTATGTGGAGATTATCCCGAGTTATTAACGGATTACCAGATTGAATGGCGAGATGTTAACTAATATTTATCCAAATGACTCATATTAATGTAAATTTATTTCCTAGGACCATACTGGATAAATCCTGAAAATGAAAAGTATGCTACCTTGGAAGAAGATGTTACATTTATTTGGGAATACAGATATCCTCATCAAGCACTTGCCGTGTTTATAAGACGAGAAAATAACAGTGAAAGTGAAATGGTGAACCTCAATTTACATTTAATTAACACCCTAGATACTTTCTGTGTTATGTAAGGTGTTAAAGGGCAGGAGGTCACGGTGTTTAGAATGGGTGCAATTAGAAGCTGTATGCAATGTACTATTCTCACCACTGCCTTCTCTATCGTATGTGTTAAGTTTTGCCCTGTCGCCTAATCAGTTCACCGAGGAGGCCCCTTTTCATTTATCATTCTCATCTGGGTTGACATTTCATAAAAAAAAGATGATCCATGATGTCCCTACTCTTTAGTTTGTACCATGTAATTATAAACTTCTTTTACCGAACAGTAAATAACATTCATAAAATTGGGTCTATATGTGGCCGATAACGTCATTCGTAAAAGTGATCAGAATGTTTAATGTTTTTGAAGGTTGAGGTAGGATATTGGTATCAGGATGAATTTACTGATCAGGGTCAGTTTATCAATAGAGTGGTCCTTACAAAAACACCAAATGAAGATAAAACTAGTGAAGAGATCAATCTAACATTGAAAAGAGTCTCAGTGGAAGATTTGTGGTGGCAGTATGTCTGTCGGTTAACACTGGGTGATGGAGAGCAACTATTAAAAAAAACACTTTTAAAAGGTACAGTAAACATTATTATAGTAATTTATGTTATGGATATGATATTGTTAAAAAGAAAAATTTTAAAAGGTAAAGTACACATAATTACAGTCATTTGTGTTGTAGATATGATATTGTTAAAAGACGTAGTGTAAATATCGGAATAATAATTGCATGGTAGGTTGTTGTCTGGTTTGTTGGCGTGCACGGGGCAGTCATCTCCAGCAATCACCTGTTGTATTGCCGAATCCCAAATCCCGAATCCCGTGCACGCTGTATCATTAAGCCTGTCATTGAGTCAACTTGCGTGGTTTCGAATCCCCGGTTGTACGTGGCAAGGAATAGGGTCGCCTGTCTATTGGCGAATCACGAATAACGAGCCAGCACGTTATTCGGGATTCGGCAATACAACAGGTGAGTTCAGGAGATGACTGCCCCGTGCACGCCAACAAACCAGCCAACACCCTATTCGCTCAAGAAACGGTCGTCTCCTTGTTAGTCGGTCACCCAACGTTCACTTACCCCTACGGTCGGGGGTAGAGAGAGAGATAAGGAGAGAGAGATAGAGACAGACAGACAGAGAGAGAGAGAGGCACAGGGAGAAAAAAATGAGGTTTAACGTCCACTCGACACAAACTAGGTCGAGACTAACATATAGTTTAATTTTATTTCAATAATTCGCTTGCTCGTAGGGGTCTTTAGCAGTGGGTGGAAACCGGAGGACCCGGAGAAAACCCACGAGGTTGGCCAGCACGTTATTCGGGATTCGGGATTCGGAAATACAACAGGTGAGTTCAGGAGAGGACTGCCCCGTGTATGTCAATAAACCAGCCAACACCCTAGTCGCTCGACAAACGGTCGTCTCCTTGTTAGTCGGTCACCCAACGTTCACTTACCCCTACTGTCGGCGGTAGAGAGGAAATGGTCGGATGCAACAAACCAGCCAACACCCTATTCGCTCGACAAACGTTCGTCTCCTTGTTAGTCGGTCACCCAAAGTTCACTTACCCCTACGGTCGGGGGTAGAGAGGAAATGGTCGGATGCAATGTAGGTCGTTCTGTTTTAGTGGCGAATCCCGAATCCCGAATAACGTGCTGGCTCGTTATTCGTTATTGGCGAATCCCGAATAACGAGCCAGCACGGGATTCGGGATTCGGCAATACAACAGGTGATTGCTGGAGATGACTGCCCCGTGCACTTACCCCTACGGTCGGGGGTAGAGAGAGAGAGAAAAAAAAATGAGGTTTAACGTCGACTCGACACAAACTAGGTCATTTCGAGACTAACATATAGTTTAAATTTTATTTCAATAATTCGCTTGCTCGTAGGGGTCTTTAGCAGTGGGTGGAAACCGGAGGACCCGGACAAAACCCACGAGGTTGGAAAGGCGACCCTACTCCTTGCCACGTACAACCGGTGATTCGAAACCACGCAGGTTGACTCAATGACAGGCTTAATGATACAGCGCGCACGTGCTTGAACATTCGGCCCCCACACCACCCCGGAAGTAGAGAGGAAATGGTCGGATGCAACGTAGGTCGTTCAGTTTTAGTGCCGAATCCCAAATAACGTGATGGCTCGTTATTCGGGATTTGCGAATAACGAATAACGTGCTGGCTCGTTATTCGGGATTCGGCAATACAACATGTGAGTTCAGGAGAGTACTGCCCCGTGTATGTCAATAAACCAGCCAACACCCTAGTCGCTCGACAAACGGTCGTCTCCTTGTTAGTCGGTCACCCAACGTTCACTTACCCCTACTGTCGGCGGTAGAGAGGAAATGGTCGGATGCAACGTAGGTCGTTCTATTTTAGTGGCGAATCCCGAATAACGTGCTGGCTCGTTATTCGTTATTGGCGAATCCCGAATAACGAGCCAGCACGGTATTCGGGATTCGCGAATCCCGAACCCCGAATCCCGAATAACGTGCCAACTTCACGTTGCCTTATATGACATTGAATAATGTAAATACCGGAATTGGCGTAGTTGATATGCGCACAAGTGTAACAAGTATTTGTAGTAAACTAATTGATTTTCCAGATGGGGCCGGGTAAGTTTGATAATTTCTTTTTTTCATTTAATAATAGCTGTTGAATGTTGCCATTTTATTTTTATATCAGAAGAAGTGAAGCTGAATACTGTAACGTCTAGAGCAGATTCACGGACATCAACAGCTACCAGATCACCTGTTGGTTACAGTACAGTAATACTTGTTATTGTCTGCTCTATTATCTCTCACATCTCAAAGGACTAGTAAGTACTTGTTACTACTTGTTATTGTCTCCTATATTATCTCTCACAACTCACAGGACTAGTAAGTACTTGTTACTACTTGTTATTGTCTCCTATATTATCTCTCACAACTCACAGGACTAGTAAGTACTTGTTACTACTTGTTATTGACTAGTAAGTACTTATTACTACTTGTTATTGTCCCACAGGACTAGTAAGTACTACTTGTTACTACTTGTTATTGTCTCACAGGACTAGTAAGTACTTGTTATTACTTGTTATTGTCTCTTACATCCCACGGGACTAGTAAGAACAAATAATACTGCCTGTTATTGTCTCAGGGTAAATTTGATAGGTTGAGTGCAAACAACAGTGTCATCAGCCAATTTCGCTATGTGAACTCTTTTAACATCAAAAGAATATTAACATAATTATTGCAAAAGGGGTCGAAATGAAATGGGGTTTAACGTCCAACTGTTCTGCTCCATACAGTATGCTATGAGGGAAATTTTGCCCGGGCAGCGGCGCTACGGCCTACTCTTATATCGAATTCCAACTGCCAGGGATCTTTTACGTACACGCCAATGTGTACACGGGACCTCGGTTTTTCGTCCCATCCGAACGACTAGACAGCTGTCCTTGTCAGGCCCTCCGTCCTGCATCACTGACAAGGGGAAACCACGCCGGAAAATCTGGATGAACTTTCTCGGCCAATGCAGGGATCGAACACCCGACCTCCAGGCTAGCGAGCCAGCGTCTTACCCACTTAGCCACGTGATCCTCGCAAAGGGGGTCGGATTATTATACACGCGTGTATTGATCTATAATAATAACTCATTACAATTATATAATGTATTGAAGTAATTAACTGTGTTTATATATTTCAGGGTTTATCCTACGTTGGTGATGTTATTGTTATCTTAACATCACCTTTGTTAGTTATCTTCTGGTGAATTTTTAACATGCATAGGTTTGGAAAACCTCTGTGTGGGTTAAAAATCCTGTTGGTCCATTTCTTATTACAGTTACTTATTTGAATAAGTTTGTATCAAACAATTTAAAATGTATTTTTGGTATATATTTTTATACGCCCCTGTCCGTCCATCCACAATTTGTTTGTGGACAGTCTACTGGTTACAATTTTTATCCGATTTCGACGAAATTTGCAATATAGGTTTCTCTCCCATCGACATCGGTTCATGCAAATCCGACTCTTAACTTGACGGATGCGACCCCTGGTCGTAGGAAAAAAATCGTAGTTTTAGCTTGTGGACCCTGTAGCGGTAACATTTCACATCTGACTTTAAAAAGCGTTTAATTATATCCGTGGTGCATACTATATCACGGTTACACCCTAATGATAGTTTAGTTCAAACTTTGTGAACATCTGACCGAAACTTCCCGACAAAATAGCCGCTACTTGTACGCAAATAGTGTAAAAGTATCTAATACCAAGGTTGTAGATCCTGGTTTACGATACGAAACTTGAAATATAGGTTTATCTCCAAAAGATCTTGGTTCCTTTCGATATTTGCGCATATCGGACCGTAACTTTCTGGGTTATTGCCCCTGATTGTACAAAACATCGCGTTTCGTTTTACCTTGTTCTCTATCCATCTCTTGCAAATTGTCCTACACTCTAAAAAATATCCATTTTTTATGTGGCCGAATTCCGTAATTTAACACCTTTTTTTCTGTTAATCGATGGATTTTTTGGAGAAATTGTGTTAATTGTCTGAATTATTTCTTCAAATTACGTGTTTTATGTATTTCTGTGAAATACTCAGTATTAAACAGGAAATTTCCGTGAAATTTAGGGATAAAATGTTTTATTCCCTTCTATAACGGACTTAATTCTGTTATTTTACGGAATAAACAGTGGAATGACAAGGAAGTTCCGTGAAATTTAGGGATAAAATGTTTTATTCCGTTCTGTAATGGACTTAATTCTGTTGTTTTACGGGATAAACGGTGCAACGATAAGTAATCGTATACATATATAATCATTCCTAATAATCATCATGTTATAGTATTCATTTCAATTTATTAACCATAATATGAAGAATCATATTTTGTAACGTTTGGTATATTAATTGACATGTATATCTAATTTCCATTATTTATAAGATCTATAAAGTGTATTGTTATTCATCATACGGTAATCAGATTGTAAGTATTTTCATAAATATGTATAAGTATGTTTTAATGCTGCGGGTGTTAAAGTTGTAATATCTGGTAATCAAGCACGCTAAAGTCCGGATAGTACAACCGGTTGGCCAGTGTAAATCGGTTTTTGTGTCTATGGCAGAGTCTGCATACCTGCGAATTGATAATACCGCAAACATACATCTGAAAGCCTCCAACCACTGACGAGTAGTGGTTTGTGATACCTTGCTCTCGATTCTTATAATAGCGAAAAGAGGTTACGTTTAAAAATTATTTGCGATATCACTTCGGTGGAAGCGGACGTTAAATAAAGCTATTTCACGCACGCGTATAAAGTCAATGGTTAATTCAATGAAATTTTTATCACCTTCATGGTCAGGAAACAAAATTTACCAGGATTTTTTTTTCTGTATTTGAAAATGGAATTTATGTTAATTGAAGGAATTTCTGTAAATTACAGGAAAAACAAATACGGATAAAATTTTCCTGGTAATTTTTGTTTCCGGAATTTTTTACGTTTTTTCACGGAAATTTTTGTTACAGTGTAGCAGCTGCTGGTTTATTTTGCTATCAAAATGAGAATTTGTAAATATATTTTTTTTTCAATCTATATTTCTACATATATTGTTGTATAGAGACTTATATACGATGTAATACTACATATAGTGTAAGACTTATGTAAGATGTATTGTGTATCTAGTCATTATTATATAAACCACCAGTCGATGACTAACATAGTAGGTCCCAAGTCCTTCAAGATGGAGGGGGATAATTTATTTTATTCTTTTATATAATAAATAAATATGTTTTAAAAATTCACTCGTTATGAATTATGTTTCAAGCCTTCCAGTATATGCTCTCCTCGTGATGTCAGGCAATTTATACAATTGGAGTATTTGGTTATTAGAAAGTTGAACTGGGGGAGGTGATTCATATTCCGGAGTAAGTTCCGATTCGGAAGGCGGGGATAAATGACTATTTTAAATATGAGAAATGATGGTTTAGCGTAATGTTTATTTTGAATGTAAGATATGATGGTTTAGGTAATGACTAGTTTAAATATGAGAAATGTTGTTCAGTTTAAATGTAAGATATGGTGGTTTAGGTTATGACTGGTTTGGGTGTGAGATATGATGGGGTTTAGTAATGTTCAAATTTATAATTATTCGACTCAAAATACGAGATATTATTGGTCAATGAACCTTTTCGGTTAATAAATATCGAATTAACTTCACGTTTAAAAGGCATATGACTCTATTCTTTGGAACCTTAGAATAGACGAAACTAGGTCTTAAAACACATATTAATGTAATACCAATCTATATAAAGTAATTTTAGCACAGCGTTCTCTGGGGATTGGTTGATACTTGGTGGAGATGGTGATGCAGAATAGGAAATGGTGGTTTTCAGTACCTAATGGATTGATGCTGGAACGTAGTGGCTTGTGCGACATGGCGGATTCGAATAATTGTTGGTTTCACTTCAGGAGATGTTTGTTTAGAATGGCGATTGGTTTTATTGTGGAAGGTGGTGGATAATAATGCACTATTTTTAGTGTTGTAGATGGTCGTTTAGATATCTGATTGATTTCTTTGTGTAAAATAGATCGTTGTTTAGGGTAAATTTTGTTTTGAATTTGAGAGATGATGGTTCCTTTGGTAGTGATATAGTGGTTTTAGAATAGTGGTTGGTTTGATCATATCTTTAAAAATAACGCATATTCCGTTGTATAATCCACCACATGTCCAAGTTTAATGTTAAATAGGTAAATCAAGGGGAGTTAAATCTATTTTATGATTAAAGTCGATTTGAATTAGTATATATATATTGAAAGCTTTGTATGATAAAACATTGGTAATCCGGGAACTTGAAAGTAATTCCAATGGCGGACTTCGTCATACATCCAATTCTAGTAGGGTACTGGAGTCTGCTGAGATTTGCCAAGTGCGTTATGCGGATGACTTTTTAGAATGGCGGAATAAACATCAAATCAACAATCTATTCTTCGTATTTCAATTTATAAATCTGCACGGCGCATAATCCGCCGCCGTTGTAAGATACCGAGAGAGACAGAGACAGAGACAGACAGACAGTCAGACAGACAGAGAACATGGTGAAGATGCTAAAGTTATGATGAGTCGACTGAAGCACTTTATAGACCATACATTATGAATTCTACGCTGTTTCGTTCTGTCAAGACTGTTTTCTTAATCTCAACACGTTGTAAGCCCACGTTTTTCTCTTCAGCCATGTTAATGTCTGATAAAGTCACGTAACACTATCGGTAGTTAGTATTACTTTAGTAAGTCAAGCCATGTACATGCATTTTCAGTCACCTACTCCATTTACCGATACAGACATACCTAACAATATTCAATTGCTGTCGATCAAGGGGATCCCTGTTGGTTTTAAGCACAACCTACGCCCGATCAATGTCAGAATTTATTATCCGATGAGTTGAGCCCGGAAGGCGAAGGACAGCCAAAGACCTCGCAAGAAGCAATTACTGCAACCAAACTTGGAGAAGCTAATGGGTATCGACGTCAAAAGCTAATGAAGTTCAATACCTGCCTACGACAGTTCTGGTGATAAAAACTTTAATACTTTTCCTTCAACCCATCATCAATGAGCTACTTACATCAGCAGGTTTCTGCACTGACAGAGCAGCTTCCGCGAAAGCATGCATCTCAGCCTCAGCCCTCGTCTCGGTCACCGCCTCAGCCACCGCCCAAATCTTACAGTCTCCTAGTCAAATGTCAACGACTTACCATTCACCGCCTGTACCCTCACAGCAAATGCCTACCTGTTTTGCTTGTTGTGCCCCAGGTCACCGTTAAGCTGAATGCAACTGGATCAAGAGTGGTAACTACAGACCCCATCTTCACCAATGTAAACAGTATGGACATACAGCCTATCGCTGCCGACTACGTAATGTTCAACAAGAGCTCCAGAAGGAATCAGTAAACTTTCGTTCCCGTCGTGCTCTTCCTCATCGTCTTAAAATGCAACAAGAGGACATTTTTTTTATATTTACCGGTACGAATTTATCAGCTGAAACTGTATTCTTTACTGGATAGTGGCAGTTCCATAAATATTTTAGAAGCTGATCTATATAATACACTACCCTCCCATGTCAAGACTACAGTTAACCCTTTGCCATACGCCACCATTCACCTAGCAGTTAGTAAACCAGTCGATGTCCTTGGAGTTACATCAGTTCAACTTAAAACATCGACCAGTAAATCTAGTGCTGTTGAATATTTTGTTTTAAACCAGTCGTCTCAACCCTTGATTCTGGGAACTGGATTTCTTCGAGATAACCAGGTTTTATTAAACTTCAGTAAACCTTTACCTACCTTACAGTCACGTGTCAAGTGTCACTGGTAATGAACTTCGTCAATTACAGGACTGTTTTTATCAGTTTAATGATATATTTGTTACTAAAGAGAAACCTGAACTTGGGAAAACTGATTTTGTTCAGCATCAGATAGAGTTAAAGCCTGATGCCATTCCAAAACACCAGCGTCCTTATCGTCTATCGTGAAGTGTTAAAACATCAACTAGAAGAACTACTTCAACAAGATGTCATTTGTTGTGTCAACGAAACTGAAGATATTCCTATAACCAGTCAACTAAACGCACAAAGCCTAATGACACTGCAATTCCAGGGTCTAAACAATCAAGTCTATCAATTTACAGATTTTGTTGTACAGATTTCCGGTACTTAAACTCACAGGCCCAGGTTTTTCATTACAATATTCCTGATTTACAAGAACTCACTGAATCCTTTGGTGATAAACAGCCTCACTTTATTTCGTCCATTGTTTTTTTTAATGCTCCTTGCCCATGATTCGTCCAAATATACGAATCTTGCCAAATGTTTCGGAACATTTAAATTTTTAAGATTAGCTATTGGATTGAAACCTTCTAATTCGTTTCAGTCATTGATGGACAAAGTATTCCAAGGAGTTTACATTTCCGTCTGAACTTTGGTATCCGGATGATGTTTTGATTTAAAGTGCTACGTTTCAAAAATATTTGGATGACTTAACTGTAGTTTTCACTCGTTTAAAATAAGCTGGGCTCAAGAGAGAGAGAGAGAGAGAAATGAGGTTTAACGTCCACTCGACACAAACTAGGTCATTTCGGGATTAACACATGGTTCAATTTTATTTCAATCATTCGCTTGCGCGTAGAGGTCTTTAACAGTGGGAGGAAACCGGAGGACCCGGAGAAAACCCACGAGGTTGGACAGGCGACCCTACTCCTTGTCACGTACAACCGGGGAATTGAAACCCCGCCAGTTGACTCAATGACAGACCGTATGATACAGCGCGCGTGCTAACCATTCGACCATCCAACCCCCCAGCTGGGTTCAAGCTTAATCCCAAGAAGTGTGAGTTTGTGCAAAGTAATGTGTTTATTTATGTCATGAAATATCGAGTTCAAGAATCACTTCACCTCGTCGCCATGTCAGTGTTGTTAAGCCTTCGTCTGTGAAAGAACTGGGACGTTTTCGTGGTTTAAATAATTCGTGAAAAGAGGAACAATTTTCATTAGGAAATCTGAGAACCAAGACACGTTTTACCGACTGAAATCGTTACTGAACTCACACGCACATGCATGCCCTCGTTACGGTGGTATACCCTTTCGCCTCAGTGTTGATTCTTCCAGTTTAGGCGCCGGATACATGTTGTACCAAATTTATCCGGAATCTGAATTTCCTAAAGACACGGATGAAAAATAGCGAACACGCATCGTTAAATTTGGATCAAAGTGTCTTTCGGAGTGGTAGAGGTTTTACAGCCCCACGAAATTAGAACTACTGGGAATGATGATTGCAATTGTTGAATGTGCACCATATCTTCGAGGCCGACATTTTGTCGTAGATTGCGACCATCACGCGCTTCATCCCACTTATTGCACACGTAGGCTTAAAGTAAAAACTCTCATCGAAACCACAAAACGAACTTTTATACAAATCAAATCTTAAGCAGCACAAACAAACAGAACGATCTTTACAGAGTTGTGAATTCCCTTTTAGTCCCCAATTTTAGAAAAATTGCCCTACCAAGAGAAAACTGTTCTGATTTTTCAAACAGATTTGCCGAATATATTTCAGACAAAATATCAAAAATCCGTTATGATCTCTCCGCGAATGCAACTGCCGAAGATATTATCTCTGAGCCTATTCAGTCTATTACTAATGTGGGCCTTTGATTAGATTTTGTGAACTAGATGAGCTGAAATTAACGAAGATACACGAAATCCACTTCCTGTTCTCTTGATCCTATACCTACCTGTTTCCGTAAAACCCACCTTGATCCTATACCTACCTGCTTCCGTAAAACCCACCTTAAGTGTTCTTACAGGTTATGTTGAATATTATCAACGCATCGTTTAAATCTGGAATATTGAACAGTGTTTAGTCGTCTGGGTGGTACCGAGGGACCTTGTACACATTGGAATAAGAAAAAAGAGTAGGCCATAGAGCCACTATCTGGGAAAGATGTCCTTCATAGCACACTGCATAGCGTATGTACGTCTCCATAAAATCTTCAAGTACGGGCACAACGCTTGGCCACTTTAACTCATAGCCAAAGCTATAAAGTGAGATAATAAATACATTTAAACACTTCAACTGGAGAGTCATATATACCTGGCTATAAGTACAGGTAGGAACACACGGGGACCTAGCTGTAGGTATAGTACGTCAGCTATAGTAGGTCAGACATTGCAAGTTGAAGACAGAGAAAGAACATAGCTGACGATACAAGTTGAACACGGGGAAAGAAAATATAACATACGCGAGGCTCATCGGTACAGTATGATAGATAGTACAAGATGAAATCCAGACATTGCAACGAAGAGAAGAACATACCTGGTTACAGTATAGTAGATATTACTGGTTGACACCTAGAAAATCACAGTGGTTATATCTGTGACCCGACCTACGGTATTTTTCCAACACGTGGGCTGGTTTGTTGAATATAAGGTGAGTATTAGGTTTACACGTACATAGCGTAATTTACATTAAATTCTAGTGAAATGGGGTTTAATTTTATGCATATTTCCACTGAAAGTGTCTTGTCTGTTCTGTCTTCCTACATAATATAATAGATATCGAGTAATGTCATTTAACTGAACATATTATGTAAGACTGCGGTGACAAGTCACGTAAACATGCTTGTAAAGTCGAAATAAGTATGCAGTAAAAAATTTTGACAGCCTTAT